AAATCAACACAGTACAAGTTATCCAGAGGGACACTGCCAGATATGCTGTCTATACTACAAATACTAGAGAGCCTTTCTCTAGATACCCTTTTCAGTTGGCTCTGGGGGTCCGTCCCATCTGGACTTTCTGAGCAAGGTATATCAGTGTTATCTGCAGCATCACTCCCTTTGGTATCACTGTTACTCACATTTCTTGAAAATGTAAGGTTATTTTCGTTGATACAACTGGCAGTTCTTTCCTTGCCTTTATCAGAAAGACAATCATATTCTCCTACTTCTGTTTCCTTATCTTCATTAATTTTCTCATTTGACTTAGGTGATTCTTCTATGTTCTCCGTGCCAGATAACTGGTGTCTAAGTTTGGAACTATCACATGCCTTATATTCTGGATTGGATTCAAAATAAAGCTGCATGTACAGTCCAAATTCTGTGTCCTCAATTTCACCGTCAAACTCGCTGCCATTCTCGGAGTCACTCATCTTGCTGACTGGAAAAAATTGAAATATGTTATAAAAAATCAAAATGAAAGGGGGAAGAGGTGAGAGAGGAGAAGGAAGATGAGAAGTGAGGAGAAAAAGAGAGACAAAATAATTTTAGGAGCTTTGTGCCACCATTAACGCAACTGTTACATCATGAAAAAATTTGGCTGAGGACGGGAGTGACTGCAATAGACCGTTATGAAAAGTAAAAATTTGTCTGTAGACCTATGGTGGGAATAGCTTGCTTTGAGTGCATAAAACTCTTAAAGGAAGATTAGACTTCGTAGGCATTTAGGAAGGTGCTGTTGCATTATTTCCATTGGTAAACAAGAATGGAATGAATCACAAGTAAATCATAGGTGAAAATGCTGGCTCTAGGGAGGACAGTATTTCCATGCACAAGATCCCATTACCCCCTTTTGTGACTGGTGGCATAGGATGTGTTACAGAAAATGGAATAATACAGAAGTATTTTAAAATCACAGAAATAACATAAAAAATGACACTTATTGTTATTATTATTGCACAGAGTTGAAGACTACATGGAGAGACAATATAGAGTCTGCTCAAGGAAAACAATCTATTACCATCTTGATACAGCATATCAAGTGACCAATATGTATTTGTCATGTGCTTGAATTACTTTCTCTTTTATTAAAAAACACAATCTCTTAAGATGCAGTTTTGTTACTAGCATTGCCACAGAAATTCTAACATCTAACCAGCATTTCTGACAAAGCATATCTTTATTACATTAGCTTAAGGCATGTCAAGAAAAGTCGGCCAGGCAGGAAAGTGTCATGAGCCAGAGAAAAAGGAATTTAGTCTTAGTTGAACCATTGATAATTAAATAGACTACTATATTGGCTCACATCAATAATCAAATCCTCTTTTTGGTCATGGAACACTGAACCTTCTCTGCTGATCTACAGGTCTTGAGAGAACACAGTTTTAGTGCATGACAATCAGACTTCCATGACTGACAGTTCATGCAATCAATAAACTGATGAAATCTAAGACACTTCCCTTATATCATTTCCAATATAAAGAGAAAATATGAAGCAAATTAATTTTTAAAAACATGAGATTTGCACTAACTCTTTAAACGTTTGATTGATGCAGTTTTGTCCAATGATGGGCATATCTAGGAAAAAAAAAATCTGTCTAGAAAATAACAATTCCTGGACATTTAACCTATCTATAGATGTTAACCAATGGAAATTACTCTGAAATCAATAGGTCAGTCAAAAGAAAGAAAATCACATCTGTTTACATCCTTACTTAACATTTGGCAAAAATCAACTGTGCTTTGTATTTCTTGTCTCCCCTATAGCCAAACACTGATTTCTCACGGTACCCAGGGGAGGTAGGGTTACTTATCAAAAGGAAAATGAATACCCAATTTGTTCAGACCACAATCAAACTCTATGAGGAATTCTAAATCTTGCCTATGAAGGTTATGCTGTCATGGTAACTGTGCAACAGGCTGCAAAAGACACGTGTCATACCTTGATGCTGACGGTGCTGCCAATATCTGAGGTGAGTTTCAAGTCAGGTAGTTTTTGACTTCATGAAGGCCCCTTAAGGTTCCCCCCCCTAGAGCCGGTCCTGTGAGGGGGGGAAAAAAAGGGTCATAACATATCTGAAAGAATTTCCTGTGGTGACCAGTAACCTGGAATGTTTAGTGATATTTTATTAGCAAATAAATATTAGATAAAAAAAATACTCAAGGAAGATAAACACACACAATAATTGTTCAAAATACCTTTGTGCACTTGTTCACAATGATACTGGTACTCACATATTCCTCATACCCTTTTTTACTCACACATATAGAAGTTTTGCTGCAAAAACCTCCCTATAGCCAACAATCTTGGCTGTGATAGAAGGGCGAGTTACCATGGGAAATTGCAGGGAAATTGCAAATAAATGGAATGAGGGTCACTATAATATCTAATGCAGGAGACTGTGATCCCTGAGGTTTCCCTGGGAGGACTGCCTCCATCAATCCTTAACCCCTTGCCGCCGGGTGACGGCGATACGCGTGTAAACAAATCGCTTCAAAGGTGGCGTGCGGCCAAACCAGCCGGCGGCGCGCCAAAGCGCGGCGAGCCAGTGATTCGGGCTGACGCCCCGTACTCCGGCGCTCAAAGTCGGCGCGCCGCCTTTGTTTGCCAGAGCATAGAGTTTTATTTTCCTTTAGTACACCCGGCGTCATTGGGTTAATCAGGAACACAAAGAATCCTGCAGATACTCATGGCAGGACGGACTCAAAGACTGATATGCAAGGTGAAATTCAATGGAAATTTTTCTGCCCACACTGCAATGTCTAATATGCAGGGAGAACAGCCTGGAAAAAAATCTCCCGGCATTAACCCCTTGCCGCCGGGTGACGGCGATACGCGTGTAAACAAATCGCTCGAAAGCTGGCGTGCGGCCAAACCAGCTGGCGGCGCGCCAAAGCGCGGCGAGCCAGTGATTCGGGCTGACGCCCCGTACTCCGGCGCTCAAAGTCGGCGCGCCGCCTTTGTTTGCCAGAGCGTAGAGTTTTTTTTTCCTTTTGTACACCCGGCGTCATTGGGTTAATAGTTTAGTGTTTGTCTTGACTCCTTGTGACGAGTCATTCACTTCACACTGCCATAAATGCACGGAAGACTCGATGAACTCCAGGGCATGGGTGTTGGTACAGCCTATGGGGGGGGGGGATGTCCCGAGAAAATCATCCCCTCACATTAGACGATCTGGCAAATAACTTCACACATTTCTTTTGTATTATACCCTGCAATTTCCCTGGTAACCTTCATGCCTTCCTAAAACAACAGAGCCAAGTCTGTAAGGCACGGTGGGATTTTCTTGACATAATTCCTAGACACTGTAACCTCTTGTTCGGTCACAGTAGGTTTTCCGAACACTTACTGCTTAAGAGTTGGCAAGCCTCCTTCCCAATGCGTTTCCAAAAATAGACTACTTTGTACTGTATCTTCAGAGAATAAAATAGTGTTTTTTTGGTCTTAATTGAAGCATTGACAGGTGAGCAGGTGGCAAGGTTGCAGGTCCTCCCAACACCAAGACACACAAACATAAGAGAAAGTGATAAATAAAAATAAAAAAATAAAAGTACAATAGTTAATCAAATAAAGTAGGTAAACTAAAATAAACAAGACACAAACATAAAAGAAACGGCTAGACAAAAATAAATGAATAAAAGTAAAATAACAAGATAAAATAAATAAAAATAAATAAGACAAGTAAACATTAGAGATAAACAAACAGACAGACAGAAAACTCACTTACTCACTCATTATCTCATTTGCAACTCCACAGAAACAACCAACTCCATCATAGTTTCCCTGCAATCTTGCAATTCTCCACGAACTTCTGTCCTACAACCAGTAATTGACAATTCGTTGATTGCAACTAGTTAGGCAACCCTCCACCCTCCTCCTATAGACCAAATATAGAACAAAACCAAACAAAACATACAAATAAAACAAATAAAGGATCCCTGACGCATCTCATCTCCTAAAACATCCCGTGTGAGTAATAATCGGCCTTAAAAATAGAGAAATTACCCCGAGCGACAACTTTGTTTACCTCCCAGCTGGTCGCCACACGTGCTTCTGCCTCCTTCGGGTTCGTAGCGGAAAGGTGCTAATGTTAGCTGACGTTGAGCGGTTCGTCTGCATGCGTAGCAGAAAGGTGCTAATGTTAGCTTACGTTGTTCCGGGATTGTGTATGGTAGTTTGTAATACCTTATTGGTGGTGTGCATGATTAAAATGGGTATTATTTTGGTGTGAAGGAATGTATAAGGTCGATTGTTGCATCTGAAGGGCAGATTTAAGGCAATTCATCACAAACGTAGTAGAAAGGTGCTAACGTTTGTAACCTTTAGGGACAATAAAAATAGCTAAAACTGACAGTACTGACACGAATCGTTGTTAGGAATGTCTTTTCTTAATGAAACGTATTAATTCATAGCTTTAAAGTAAGACGAAATCAAATTAATCTTCTCAGTAGGGATATTGCCCTAGAGAGAGAACAAGTGTTACCAAAGGTAGAAGATAGATATTATTGCCTACACTTACTCCCCCCTCCCCCCACCCCCCATCCCCAGACCGCGATAAAAAAAAATATCTGTGAAAGATTTTTTTGAAGACTCATTATTAACACTCTATAACACCGTCAGCATGTCTTCGTAAATAAAATTCCGTGACTCTGCATTAAGTATAAGCTCTCGAATACCCAGTGCTAGCAGACATCACAGATTTCAAGTGGAGTTCAATATTTCTACAAACCCATCGCCTTAAACCACAGAATCAAAATAATATATGACGATGAAAAGAAAAAATAAATCTACATAAATAACCTCATATAATTCATTCCCTTAATTCCTGGTAACAAATTTCCGTCGAAAATTTCCTCCAGAATACATGACGTGGCTCCCAACAACAACGCGATCGGAATTGATTATCCGCGTCGAGAAAAGGGTTCGGATCCGACTTAAGAGCCGCAGTTAGGGGGTTGGATGCCCTTCCCTAAGCAAGAGTCAAGGACCGAGTGTACGTGTATCGGGAAAAAGTGAATGAAGTAAATAGTCGTAGAAACAGCTGATTCGAAACAGCTGATTCTTGATTCAGTTGTAGAAACAGCTGATTCTAGCTTTGCTCTTCTGACGGGTAAGGACTAACTGTCGCTCTGGGGAATTTTCCAGCAGGGAGAGGTGTAAATTTGGTGTAATTAAGTGCCGGCGGGATTTGATTTGAAATTTTTATGGGAGTCTTTTGGGGAATTTTAGAATGAGGAGATTTCGAGGGAATTCTGTGGAAGAAGTTAAGATTTCGAAGGTTTGAGACGAATGTAGGGATGTATTTGGTTATTGTCATGTTAATTAGTGTTAGTGATGATTTGGCTCAAATTTACAGACACCTGCAGAAGGTTTTCGAAAATCTCCTTTTTTTCGGTCTTATGTACATTGGTTATGTTCTATCCGCTTGAAACCTTACCTTTATCGGAACTTTTGATTTATGGCGGAAAGCTTTCGGTCTTACATTTGGTCTTGTAGTGATTTATTTGTAAAACAAGAGTCGAGACCTTCCTATCCTTGGCATTCCATAAAGTACAGTATTGGTATTTTTTTCACAATATCTTAGCCTAAACAATTAACAATTTTGGTATTGTTGGATTCCTCTCACTCTCTAGTACACGTATATGTAGGAATTATGCTGGGAATCCCCCCCAAACCCCCATATTCTTGGTCCTGATAGCAAGGGAGGGCATGAAAGGTACTATGGAAACTGTGGGGTAAACTAACAATGATACAATAAGGTAATGAAGGTAATACCTCAGGGTTCAGAGTTCTTCAGATTTATTTTACAGCCCTATTTGATTATGTACGCTGCAGACACAACCCTGTATGGCCATTCTTTTGTGTCCTTCTCCCAACCTGTAGGAGGCACAGCAAATTTCCTGGCGCCTTTCAAGCCCTCTCCTGCTGTTGGGCCAAGATTGTCTCTAGTAGAGGGGGAGTGGGGGGGGGAGTTCCATGGCATAATTTTGATATATTTTGATAATGTTCTGAAAAATTACTACAGTTTTTTACCTCACCTGATCTGGCAAGATATGAGGATAGAATAATTCCTTATTATTTATTACTGTGTTACTTAACCCATTACCGCCGGGTATGGCATGTACGTACATGCCATGCTCATTGTGAGTCGACTTGTTCGATTGTTTTTACACATAGATGGCTACACTTGTACTAAGTATCCAATGAGCCAATTATGAGTACTGCCTGTCTCGCCCATTCACCCTTTTCATCGATTTACGAAAATATTTAATGTTATCCTAATTTGCTGTTAACCCAATGGCGCCGGGTGTACAAAAGAAAAAAAAACTCTACGTTCAAACAAACAAAGGCGGCGCGCCGACTTTGAGCGCGTGAGTAGGGGACATCAGCCCGAATCACTAGCTCGCCGCGCTTTGGCGCGCCGCCGGCTCATTCGGCTGCACGCCAGCTTTCGAGCTCTTTGTGTACACGCCGATTGGCGTCACCCAGCACCAAGGGGTTAAAAATAACACCATCTATATTTATAGCACTAGTAAGAATACGTTTTTTCCCGCCAATTCAAGGAAAGGTGAAATCAGGACTAGCAGAGCTATCTATGGACAGATATTTCACAAAAATATAAAAAATGAGTACTGCATTTCCCCCATTTTTTGTTCATTTTCCCCGGCGGCAATGGGTTAAATAGGTACTTGTACAGATTACCTTTGCATAACTGATCAAGGCAATAGTAGTATCAATGGATTCCTCCCACCATTTACTACCCATAGATATAGGGTATTTACTGCAGGAACCAGAAAGCCCTCCCCATTCTTGGCCCCAATAGTATGGGAGGGCATGAAAGGTACCAGGGAAATCGCAGGTGAATTTTGAAATATTATCTACGAAATATGCCACTATTATAATAATATACACAGAATAAGGTACAATATTGTTTGAGGTAGGGGACCATGCCCCATGCAACCCACCCTTTAGGGGCAGCTGCTTCCCTACCCCAGCCCTGGAAGACAAAGAATCCTCCATGAATTGTCGGCAAGATAGAGTGTACAACCAGTATGCAGGGTGGACATGGAAAAATACAGCCCGTGAATGCTGATATAGTAACCTGATAGATGTCACAAAATTTATTTGCCCTGACTTAGTGCATCCATACTGCTCTATCTGCGAGTTGGTTTGCTTCTACCAGTTTTTGCCTGCCAAGAACGCAAACATAGAAAGGTTTGCAGGGATGTAATAGTAGCCACTTGCATATTTATCCATATTTATTGTATTGTATTAAGCTTGTTTTTATCTTTTTTTTCAGGTTGGGGCTAGAAAATCACAATGATGCGCTTCCTTTGGTTTATAACTTTATTGTGCATGACTTTTGTGGTCATCAGCGCAGAAATACATCCTATAGACGTAGAGCCAGTGATTAAAAAAGAGCAGCCAGATTTTGAGGTAAGCATATATACAGTAGATTAATCTGTATTCAGATGTACTGTGCTGGTGAACATATGGTAAGAAGCATACAGGTGTGGTCTTACAATGTGTAGTCTATTGTATATAGGGTAAGGTGTCCAATAGCTATGCACAAAACCAGGGATGATTTTAGTCTAGAGGCTAAACCTACCCCCCCTAATCAATGAATGAATCTGATGTTATGGTAGAATACTAAAAGAGAAGTGCAATTTCATGCAATGGAAGTAGAATTTTAATATCTCATCCTGCCTAATAGGTACTCTTTCACTAATAGCTCCCAAGCTAATAATGCTTGATTTATCTCCTTTACGGATACTAGATTTCACTTTTTATGTTATCAATTGATCCATGTATAAATGACATTCGACAGTTAGCATAATTTTTAATGACAATGTGGAGAACAAGGTAATGAAAAAGTAACAAAGTGAGTTTTTTCCCTATTTTGTCTGTAAATTATGACATTTTGTTGTATACCTTGCAAGAAATGATTGAAAGGAGTTGCAACCATACCATGATTGCATATAAAGACATCATATCATGGGAAATAATGGTAAAATGCATTCTTAAACCCTCTGTAAACATGGCATTATTAGTTCTCGATAATATATGAAATATCTCTTCCTGCCTGAAAAACCTTTGGTAATGTAAAATGTTCTTTCTCTGGCACATCTTAAAGATTGCTAGTCTGTTATTTGAAATGGGAATCAATTACTGATTTGATATCAAGTGGAAAAACAAACTTAATTTTTTGGATATGATACTTCTCCCACTTCGAGTATAAAAGCCATATACTATACTTTTATACAAGAAAATGGAGTAGATTCTATCCAAAACATAGATGTTCTTTGGCCTCTCTGTGTAGATTTTTAGTTCATGACCTCTATGGTAGCTTTACTACTATTGTCACTCATGATTTCGCATTGTTTATATATGAGGCACACATCTTGTATTCCTGGAATGGAGTTATTCAATCTGAAGTAGAAATGATAATTTAGTATATTGTTTTTTTCTTATAATATCATGACCAGTAGGTATACAAAGTGTGGCGTCCTTTACATACATATCTTACAGGAGAAAACATGAAGCATACAAACTGGACCAAACCATTAGTCTAACATTTACAAGGTAGTGTGGCACATATTCTCCCTATCAGTTGAAGAGGCATTAGATCTGGAATCCCTCTTGGGTGGGACTCCTTAGTACCTACTTGAAAAAAGTCTTATATATTGACCATGGCTGTCTAATTCCTTTCTAAATAGGTATACACCTCTGCCCCACCTTAATTATTTTGTTTCTAACCAGATTTAAAACATGTTTCTAACTTTCCTCAGGCCCAAGTCAAACTAAAAAAAGAAATAAATCATAATGTGTGAAAAGTAAAGTAACAACAACGCAAAAGCAAAGTGTGAATTCTGAACTTTTATAAGAATATCACTTTTTTCCCACTTTTCTTTGATTATCTTGGTAATCTTTGGGAATAGATTTGTATAAATATGTAGGCATATGGAATAATGGTTAAGGATTAATAGGGGGACAAGTATAGAATTGTGGATGTTGTTTATTTCATGGAGACATTTTTTAAATGGCAAATGAATACTAATTGGACTAGTGTGTAATGCCTGGACACCCTACCCTATGTTTAGTATATATAACCAAGGACCATTGATATACATTAATTTATTCTCTCTCTCTCTCTCTCTCTCTCTCTCTCTCTCTCTCTCTCTCTCTCTCTCTCTCTCTCTCTCTCTCTCTCTCTCTCTCTCTCTCTCTCTCTCTCTTCTCTCTTCTCTCTCTCTTTATTTCCTATTATTTGATAATTATTCAACCATTATTTTTATGAAACCGTCACACTTTGCAGTTTATAAAGCTCAGAAATGTTTCCATTTCAGGATGACACGGGCAATGGTTCTGTGTTGCAGGCCGGGAGTGGCCATGCACCCAACTCCTCTTTGGATGAAAATAAGAAAAATAAAGCAGATGTTAGCTTTATGCATGCATTTATTGCTGCACTTAGCATGATCATTGTTACAGAGCTAGGAGATAAAACTTTCTTCATAGCTGCAATTATGGCAATGAATCATCCAAGGGTTACGGTGTTTGCCGGAGCAATGATTGCGTTGACAGCTATGCACGTTATGTCGGGTAAGTATTAGGTTTTCTCAATTTCAGGTCCAGTGTCTGTTCTTTGCTTATTAGCGTACACTGTATTCTCTCGTTTTAGAGGATATACGTTCGGTAGTTTTTGCAATTGATTTTGGGGCCAAACGTTACGTATAGAAGCATATTTTCTTTATGTAATGGGGATATTGTCAGGTATGGATGTGAGTTTAAACAGTAAAAAGCTTTGCCTTTATCATATTTGAATATGATTAAGAATGACTTGGGTGGTTATCATAACAGGGATAAAGTTTCTTCTACTTTCAACTATTTTTGTAAATATAGTTCACATTTACTTTCGACTAGTAGGGATCAGCACATGTAAACTGAGAGAACTCGGGAGTAATCTGAAGTCAACAGTACTAAAATCGGTCCGTCTTTTCTTATGAGACTTTGGTACTTTGTTATTGGTTTTATTGCAGTATTAATGAGTAGACTCAAATTTTATTTTATTTTATTTTATTTTATTTTATTTATTTATTTATTATTTTTTTTGTCATCATGAGCTAAAATGAGAATACTATAAGAGCAGTGATCCAGGCAGTGGATTATAAAAAAGAAAGTAGATGAAAATTTATTCTAGTATAATAAAGCCATTAAAGGAGGGGATACAGTTTTATATTACAGTACTTAAAAGGAATCACAACCTTTGATTATGTTTCAAACTGATTTTCTTTTTTCTTTTTTTTCACACCAAATGATGACCATATAATGCTATTATGTCTTAAACTTGCTGCAATGTTTGAGCTTCAAAATTTTTTAAAAAGTGAGTTTTATTGCCTATGTAATAAGCTGGAACTTTTATAAAGGCAGGAAGAAATTGATTTTTAGTTTGAAAATCTTCACTCACTTCAAGCTTTGGCAAAATGGGAAAATTTGGTGCAAAGACAAAGGAAGGATATCCAGAACAGTTTGGTCTGAGGTACAGCATTTGCCTTAAATATTAGTTTTGAAAATCTTCACTCACTTCAAGCTTTGGCAAAATGGGAAAATTTGGTGCAAAGACAAAGGAAGGATATCCAGAACAGTTTGGTCTGAGGTACAGCATTTGCCTTAAGCTAAAACGGTCTTAGGCCAAAACATACTGGTTATCCGATCAATTGTTTATGAGAAATTACCGCTTTCAGGAAGAGGGAGGTGCGAGCCATTGGCCAGAGTGCTCCAGAAGGAAGTGCACACCAATGGCAAACAGTTGGTATTAGTGAAAAAATAAGGAAAAAAAAGAAAACAAATGAAAGCTATGGATGTAAAGATTAAACAAACATTGGGCTATAAAATTTATACCTGAGGGTTCCCAGGTTGCAAGCTGAAATGTGGCATTGAGTAGTTGTTGATCAAAAGTGGCATTCAGGGAAATCACCAAGAAGTAGTCACATGCGTTAGTATTTAGTGCTTGAAAGGAACAAGCCGCCTTGTGTGACTCGCACTAACCTGCTGAACAAGAAATTGTCACTCGCTAGTCTGCTCACAAATTCTTTTGTAGTTTGATCACTCTCTTCCACTGCAGTGCTGCTATACCTTCCTTTCTCTCGTTCTGTTGCAATATTTTCAAGTTGTTGCATGATGGCGTTGCTTCACAGAATGCATAGTCAGTCATGAAGGTGTAATGAGAAAATTATTTGCCATGAAATTGCCCTAAAACAGTATCCCCCCTTAAAACTTGTCTTTAATATCAGTGCATTCACTATGAAAAGTGAAGTGTCTGTATGAGATAAAAGACAAAATAATCTCAGTTTAACATATTGTTATTCTTGTATCCACAGCTTTGTTTGGGTATGTTATTACATGGATCCCACGAGTATACACTTTCTATGCTTCAAGTGTTCTTTTTGCCATATTTGGCTTAAAAATGTTACGCGAAGGTTGGAAAATGAAACCAGAGGAAGCACAAGAAGAATTCGAGGAGGTCCAGATGGATCTGAGACGCAGAGATGATGAT